AAAATAGTACACTGAGTCATTTTTTACAGGCAGCTAGACAGTCACCAGCCACGTTGATCACACATCCCACTGCCCGCTCTGGTCCAGCTTACCCAAGGCTTCTTTCACACAAGGGTCTTCTCACCTCAAATAGCATCTTTGCTTGAGTAAGGTCTGCAGCACTCTTTAAATCCCTCTTTCTGCTGCAGCACATGCTTTCAACATGTTGGCAAATTATGTCCTTTGATCCAAAAATCCACTGAAATGGGTGGGAATTTTTCTACTGCCTTCCAGGAACCTTGGGTCAGGGTTGTTGGGTTTGAGATGTCCACCTTGGAACAGGGCAGCTGGCCCTGGATGAATGCAGGGCCACACAGGAACATACACTGCAAAGAGAATTGACCCTGCCCATTTTTAGTGGCAACACCAGTATGACTTTAAGCATGGGGAGAGAGAAAGGTGTAACCAGGGAGCCTAAAATGCGGTGATTTGGAACATTCTTCTTTTCTCCCTCAACCTTAACCTGAAGAACTAAACCACTTTCCCTTCCACAGGGACCTGTAAAATGAACAACAGGGTATAATCTATGGTAGTTTATTAATTCCAGTTCCTAGGAATAGATATTGCCATGCTTTGTACAAGGAATCACTGTGAAAGTTGCGAGATGGGCAATTTCACAGAGGCTTTTGTGTTTCTAATATCTATTTTATTGTTGTACTTTATTTCCCAAAGCACTCTTGTGCTTTATTCGAAATCAAAACAATCTGTGTTAGCAGACCTACAATAATTACCTTTAGGGGTGACTGATGTAAAAAGAAAGAGTGGAAAAGGAAGGAAAACGTGAAGAAACAAATTCGGTTTTCAAAGAACTATTAATTATTCATTAGATTGATATTATTGACTATTAATAAATAACTAACCAGAAGAATCAGTCGTCACAAAGCCCTCCTAACACTGCTTCCAACAGGGCTCTGTTGTGACTTGTACCTTGCTCAACACGCAGCAATATTTACCCACTGGACTGAGCAATGCTGATCACGCCCAGCCTGCAGTCTTGCCTTACAGGGCAGACTGAATTTTGACATTGACCCCGTTGCCGCTCTACACTAGCATGAGAACTTTGGCCTTGTTAAAGACTTCTATACCAGCCTCTCATATCTGCTTTTCAGGTCTCTCATCTCTCATCTCAGCATTGTCACACCTTTGCTAGTGCAAAGGGCTTCAAAAGAAAATAGTTTATTACTTCTTGGCATTGTCTTCCCACTGTGTCACTTGTGGATTTTAAATGTGTCCCTGACCCTCTTTTGCCTTAATATGCAGCCTCTTGAGTTCACTTCTGGTTTGTATCTATTTTACAGGGAGATTTTCTTACTGAAGTACACTGCTATAATACTATACCTATCATGTGCCTTGGGGGTAAAGAGACAAAGTCAGACCTTGTAATACTCTAATTTTTATATGCATGTCACTTGATTTCATTAGAAAATGCAACATGAAACCGATACGCCCAGTGGCTATGTTCTCACCAGCAATCACTACAAGTATTTTAAAACTATGGCATATAACATAAGTGTTCTCCAGTCTCTGTTTCTGATTAATAAGCTCTGTGATCCTTCTGCCCATGCAAACAGCTTAACAAACTCCAATTCGAATGCACTAAACAGTGTGAACTATGAGTATAAACTGATAATGGTCTCTGGACTGAAGCACATGAAAGGCAATTCCCAAGGACACAGTTGGTTCCACCACACCCTGAATTCAGCAATGGGTTGCTACAAAACCTACAGCTTCCCACTTCTTGTGTCAATGTCCTCCCTCCGGTCAGGGCAAGCCCCGAGCATGCAGCCCCCAGCTTCCCTCACATGGTTTCTGTGCAGAGGGAATGTGGAGAGGTAGCAGTGATGGGGGCCACAGCACACTCCCCCCAGCTGCTCGGCAGGACCGCAGCTGCGATACCACCTACCAAAAAGCAAACGTAGGCTGAGAGAGAAAGTTCAAAAGCCCACTCACTTTAGACTTCAACTATGGAAAACGCAGTGTTTGCTCGTTGCTAAGAATGAGGACTTTTCTATGTCAAATGATAGCACTGACGCCTTCTTCAGGACCTTCCTACAGAGAATGGGGGTAGTCAGCATAAGTACAACTTTAAGAACAATTTCAGATATTTGTGTTCCCAAATACTTCGTAAATGACAAAATGAAAGGATCCTCACAAAGAAGTAATATCCCTAGTACAAAATAAATACACTTATTCTTCCTTGCTCTGCCCCTGAAATGCTTCTGAATATTTTAAGTGGTAAAAGAACAGAAGAATTTAAAATTACAAGAATCCTGAGATTCAAAATCACCAACACTTTGATTGAAATAATTCACTCTGGTGATTTTAATACTACAAATCCTGCCTTCCTCATAATATTACGATGCCTATTTATTGCAAGACTTCAGAAAATTAGGCAGATACTTGTAAAAGAAGTGACATAAAAGGTGGTCCTGAAAGCAGCCCAGCGAATGCAAACTGTTTCCTCCCATCTTTCTCCTCCCATCTCGCAGTGAACAAAGAATTTTCTACCTCTCTGTAGCACAGATTTCCCTGAGGGAAAAAGAGGCTTGCATCAGTTCCTGAAAATAGTGGCATGGTAGTGCTACTGAAATTGCTTCACATTTAGGTCAAATCTTGACAAGAGCTTTAAAAATCTATCAGAGCTGAAGAGGTTTTATGCAAGAACCTTAAGGTGTATCTTACACATTGAAATAAGGCACAAAGGATGCTAAGGAGAAACAATGATTTCAAGTCACTGGAAAGCTAACTCTAATATTTTATCTATGACTCTTGTAAGAATAGAGCAGTAGTATTGTGACAGGTGATAAAGAACAATGAACTTTCAAAAGAACAAAGGTGTCTAGGAGATGCAAATAGGTCTACTGTAAGTGCCCCTGCGATGGGCAATGGAACAGAGGCAGTAAAAGGGAAAGCTGGAAAATAATGTGACAATTAGACTCAGTCTTACAGAAGAAATTTAATCATCAAAGGCATTTAATCATTCCCTATTTTAAAAACCTGGATTTTTTATGATTACAAATGTAAAATATGCCTTTCCAAATTTTCTTTGCTGACTACTTGTTAATGCTAGTTTGACTGTCTTCATTGTGAAACACATACCACATTTTTAGAGCTGTTCATGGAATAGTATTGGTGTATTGGGAATTTGGAAACTGAACAGGCATTTATTCTCTTAACTGGCAGTCTGATAATGCTGATACACATCTTCATAAAACTGAAATACATAAATATTTAAAATACAACTACTGTTTTATCATTTTAAAACAACCTTTGATTTTACCCCAACATTATTTCACTTTATTATAGATGCCTGAAAATACTCCATAGTCAATATGGAAGTTTTGTCACACTTTTGAATGAGTTTGTCGTATTGTTACACTGACAAGGCATCAAAAATTTGCCATATTATTGCCACAAACCATTTCAGGTGTCTGTCCTGAACTACGTAACACACAAGAACTTGATACTAGAAGCTCTTTGAATCATTAAGTTTGGCAGTAACTTGGTGCCTCTCTGCACAGCTTGTGTAACCAGGTGTTGGATCAGTTCTGTAATGCTTATTTAGGTTTTATTTGGACAACATGATCTTTTTACTTGAGTGGCAGTTTGCCCTGTTAATAGCACATTGTAGTTAATACTGCTGCTATATCCTAATAACCCTGCCTAGAAATAAAATTGCTGCTGTTACTAATATCCCCAGAGAGAGGATTTGCAGGAGTGTGCTAAGGGGAATTGCTCCTATTGCCACTGTGGAACTGAGGGGTCAACATGGCTCCTTCGTGTTTGCCTTCGTGAATTCAGCTAAAAACCAGGGCAGGCACCGGCTGTGTAGGAAGGTCAGGACATAAATGGAAAGGGAATCGTTTCCTCAGCAGGACTATGTTTTGTGACACAGCATCCCAGAAGTGACCACACTGTCTTACACATCACCCCTTTCCCTAAGCACAAAAACGTGTGTTTCTTTTACAAAAGGGAAAGGAGTGAAAGGTTTGCCTACTGCATGCAGATATAATTTCAGCATCGCCCTTTCATTTAAAATATCTAATTCTATTTATATTCCCTGATTATCTAACAGAATTCACTCTGACCTAAGGAAGAGATTAATTTTTTTTTCACTGGGTATCCTATTGCCATGTGGCTCTGGGGAGGGGGGGGGAGGTGTTCCTTCTCTTCATTTAGACAACTAGAATACAGAATTTTTCCTATTTATAATTAATTTCAGTTTTATACTATCTGCTACTCCTTTTAAAGGCAAAGCATTGCTTACTATCAGAAATGTACAGTCCAAAAAGATGTTCCTGAATCTTTTATTTTGGAAGTGTAAAGGGTTTTAAAATAAACAAAAGTAAATATTCAAATACATTTCATATTGCATGTGGTAGGAGTGGCTCCATACAATACAATATGGATGAAGCAAATCTGGCAGGTAATTTCTTTGAGACACAGAGTGTAATACATAGACACTTCCAGATCTGGTCTTGTGTCATACACAATGCTGCCTGACCTCTTTGTTATAATTTAAATCCAGCCTACTTTATTAATTATAATATTTTATTTTGCTATATTGATTGTTCAAGTTAGAAAAAAAGTTAAAAACTACGGACTTTAGAACATTGCAAGACCCTAAGTAATGCAATCTCTGAAGATAAATATACATTTATTTTTTGAGAAAATATGTCATTACCTGCAGATTAATCAATGCAAAATGATCGTGCAATAGGACAGTCTGAATTGAAATTTAAAGCTGCAGACCATGATTTTCCTACTCCCAGTGCTGCTTGAAATCTCTCACACCTTTAAAAAAATATAATTAGCTTTAGATTTATCCCACAATAAATAACACCAGAACATACCTTGTGCTACCAACCTGAATTTAAAAAAAAGTGAGGCCACCTCAGTGTTTTGAGTTTATGAGATCTTTCAGACACAAAGCCCTAACAGAGTTTCCCAGTCAAAAGGCATCAGGAAGGCTCATCGCTTATGGTAAACTTGGGCTTTAGCTTGACAGACCTCTTCCTTATTGTGCCTTTAGGGGACAATGGCATGGTGTCCATAATGCTCTTGTCCTCCTCCAGCTGCCTAGCAGTGCACGAAGGGGTGGGCACTTTCACTGTGTTGCCAAATTTAGAGTAGTCCACAGAATATCTCCCATCTTCCTCTGCCACGATAGGCACGAACCTTTGGCCCCAGAGGATTTCATCTGCCAGGTAGGAGGTTCTGGCTTGAGTGGTGATGCCGGTGGTCTCCACTACCCCTTCCAAGATGACGATGATCTCCAGATCCTCATGGTGGTGAAGGTTCAGGGGGGAGATGTCGTAGAGGGGGCTGTTCTTGTCTATCACGTGGTAGATGATGAGTGGGGAGACAAGGAAGATGCTGTTGCCCCCCACAGGGTTCTCCATCTGGATGTCAATCTGGTTGAGGGGCACCACCTCCCCCTCCAGGCTGGCAGTCTTCTTCACCACCTGCATGCGGATGGTGGCGCTGATGATCATGCTCTTCCGGAGGTCACCCACCCGCAGCATGAAGCAGAGCTTGCCCTCCCGCAGGGCGATGACCGCATGCTTGCTGAAGATGAGGGTCTCGGCCCGGCGGTGGGCCTGCGAGGTCTTCATGAAGATGCA